GGGGTATGCCATGTATTGTGTGTTGCATCTCTGTTATTTAATGATATAGATTTTCTGTCTTCTTGCAGCAGCTTAAGGGCAGTGACTAGACTCAATTTCTCATCTTCAATGTTTTTGATTTTCGTATTTAGATCCGATACCATATAATCTATCCGCCGTTTTGGGAGGCGGATAGAAGGCATTCTAGAAAACAAAACTTGAAAAGGCAGTATTATCCTCAGCAAACGTTATCAATATTGCAAAGAGTGTACTGCACATAACGTTTTGATATTAAAAGGATAAAAACGCACACGCGCGAAAACGCATATATAGGTTACAAACAGATATAAACTCATAAATCTACGAGAATGAAGTATTCCTTATAATAACGTCGGCAGTATGAGCATGGCAGATCATAACTGATCGTCGCACCACTCATACATTATCACCAACCAAAAAAGTTACAGGTTGAGGCGGCGATTATTATGCGAACGTTTTTTTGTTAAAAATGCACATGGAGACAAATTGGGTGACCTCTTACCGCCTAAACTTGAACATAACTATAATACATGTTATGGAAGCGATTATAATAACTATAGTTGTAAAACGGACAGATTTATGAAATCGTTTTTTCCACAGATGGTTTCACATATGAATAGACCATAATTTTAATATTTTTAATATTTTTAAATTTCAACTCTATAACTTTTTCAAGTGAAGTTATGAATAATTTTATGCATCTAGATATTCTATTGTAGTATAATGAGACTTTTTACTGATGTAATTTAACCTAATAGGTTACAAATCGGTATTTTATTAAATTATTAATTATTAACCTCTAGGAAGAACAGTTTAGAACTGATAAAGCTATCCAGTATAAAGAAAGTTAGTTTAGTTTAGGTTTCCTCCTGTAGTAACACTGGATCATGCAATAAGAGATGATCCTTACTGGACCTCTGGGAAGAACAGTTTAAAACTGATAAAGCTATCCAGTATAAAGAAAGTTAGTTTAGTTTAGGTTTCCTCCTGTAGTAACACTGCATGGATCATGCAATAAGAGATGATCCTTACTGGACCTCTAGGGAGAACAGTTTAGAACTGATAGAACTATATCTGCTCTAGTGCAATTGACCTCGCACATGAAAATTACCAATGATTGATGAATAAAAAATGTTTTATAATAATTACCATGTACATGGAATCTGTAGAAAATGTGCAGCACTGAACAGCGCTCAAGTGACCTGAGCAAGTGTACATAGCATCACCTGTCTGGAAATTGTAAAACACAAACAATTAGGGCTGCACCAATTTTTAAAGCTCTGAAAAACTCTGAGTTCTGGGTTCTGGCTGGAACTGAGTTCCGGTGCACCTCTACAAACATTATTACATTCTCCCAACAAGTAACAATCACTGATGTTCATTGCAAGGGCCAAGAAAAATAATGTGAGACATGTCACCTTCGCACTCCAAATTATTGCCAGGCAATCCCAAGATCCTGTGCAAAGCCAAGAACTGTCATTTGAAAAACTACATGTTTCCACGCTGTGTGTATGTCCTTGCAATTTATGAATCTCTTTCCCAGTGTTGGCATCCCAAATAATTGCATTGTGATCGTATGAGCCAGTCGCAAATATATCTCCACTGCGAGCAAAAGAGCAACACTTTATTGCACCTATACAAAATTCCTATACAGTTACAACCAGTCTGTTGTTAATGATCACCTGTTCCACACGTTGTAACCAATAATCTATTGGAGTTGTAATGCCATTGTATGCAATAAAGTATTGGGTTGTAACTGAAGACAAAACCACAAGTATTAGACAAAAGTCTTAGTTATAAATGTAATGGTCCTAAAAGGGTCGCTGGTCGCGCTGGGGTGGGGAGATTATTAGAAGTAGGGTTGGGCAATATTTCGATATTTTGATTTATCGCGATATTTTCAATCATGATTATCGTATCGAAGGCAGAAACTTGAGCGAAGATATATCAAAATTATCGTCATGCTCGATGACTATCGTGATATTGCTTCACATGTGTATATAGCTGTTATAAAATCCTAAAAAATTCTTTCAATTCGCTAGAAAATATAGTTTTTAAAAGAATTAAAACTATTTTCTGAATTAAATACGAACTTAATACGATACAAAAGCTAATGATTGAAGTATTTATAATCAGCTGAACAATGGAATTCCAGGCTTTGCTTGCGCTGTGTGGCCACAGCATTTGTGCCAGCAGAGACACAGTAGACACTGCATAGACAGTTCTGGTTTATGAACAGTAAATATTAGACTAGAAAAATCCTTCATATTTCTTTAATTTGTTGTTTTACTTGTTTTTAATAAGATTATATATAAGCTTACTATGCAATGATATTAATTAAAATTGAAAAATGTGGTCATTGTTTTTATTGCATTTATCGCGATATTATCGAATATCGTGATAATTTCCTTGACAATAATCGTGAAATGATTTTTTTAATATCGCCCAACCCTAATTAGAAGAAAACGGTCATCATCTATGTGTAAGCTAGTTAGGGTTAGCTAGGATCAGTTAGAGGTTAGGGCTTTGGATTAGCATTTGGATTAGTGTTATTGTAGACCCATTACAACCCAATACTTTACTGCATACACATGCAATGGCATCATAACACCAATAGATTATTGGTTACAACGTGCGGAACGGCTGTAATGATTTGTTGCACTAATCCATTGAGTTCCAGTACTTTTCTGTGGCAAGTAAACTCATCTGGCTATAGATAGAATAAAATATTGAATATGGGCTGATCCTAGGGCACTACCATGCAGTTAATTCAATCCCCATTACACCCTAATGTGCATTGCTTTGTTATTTTACTCCAATGCCAGACAATTTTAATCGTCAAGTGGAGAGTGCTGACCAGTACTCAATGGGTTAGGGGCCACATCTATATCGAAGTTGTGACACAAAACATCAAATTGACATTGATAAGATTATTATCCAGCCTTGAAATGTCAAGATTTGGCAATTGGAATTATGGCAAGATTTTTTTGAAAATATTCATTTTGCCATGGTAAAATCCATGAAAACATCAAAGAATAATATTTTTGACCCACCTACCCAAAGTCCCAAACACAACATCAATTTGTATAAAGTAAGCCTGTGTTCGGCACACCTTATAGCCACTCTCTGTGGCTATAACGTATGCCTGTTTTCACCATACCTTGTAACCAGGGTTTGTGGCTATAAAGTATACCAGCCCTGTGTTTGGCATACCTTATAGTACCACAGTTTATGACTATATACGTACGATGCTTTCTCACATACCACAGCCGCTTACTTAAAAAGATTACAAAAGCAGGGCTTGAAATAACGTTCCCGATCATGGTGATCGGCAGTTGGAAACCCTGCCGATCATAAGCAATTTCTTGACGATCATTGATCGGTGATCGCCTGTTATTTCAAGCCCTGGCAAGCTTGGGCCAATCAACCGTACCATCTCTGCCCTCACCTTTATGGCTTGTCAAAGTATAGACGGGCTGACCGGAATGTGTATCCCAGACTTTGACTACCCAATCATCTCCTCCCGAGACAAGCCTGGTCCAGTCTGGAGAGAAACAGCAAGCGTTCACTTCGTCATCATGACCAACAAGCGATCTAAAACTGATTGGAGTCAAAACAAACGGGGAAACATCCCCCTCCTCGCTTTCTGAATCACTTTCCTCTTTGTCTTCTGTTAGTTCAGCAACACTAAAGCCATTAACGGTCTCCATTAATACAGTTTCATGTGACATATTCCCTTTTGGGACTAGCAAATATTTGGTCAAACTTTTCCAATTTAAAATCACGTATACACCTTTACTTCGGCATAATTTAGAAGAATACTGCTCAAAGTAGAATTTCGTGTTCCTGTAGACATTTTGCAAAGCACAAAGCGAAGTATTTTTATGTTTAAAATAAAAAATAAAACGAAAATATTGTAACTGTTCTAACTAAATTTGAAACAGTAGGCAGAACGGTTGCGCCTGTGCGCAGGTTGGTTCCAGGCCACAGCTCGCCCGAGAAAGGAAAACAGAATAGTTGTCGCATTTTATGCAATTTCCATTGTGGAATTGCAAGTTTAGTCGGATTCTAAAACATCACAGACATATATTTTTCTATCATATTAAGTACTATACCAAAGCTACCAACTTACTAACCATTGACTTGCTAACTAAATAATTAGCTATTGTTTGGTGCCGGCTTGTCTTGTTTCAAGATTTAATCTACTTTGCTCCTGGTACTATTATACGTACAGTCTTTCGATTTCCACCTATTGCCTTGATGGATTAAGTTCGGAAAAATTTAGCAAGTTAAGAGCTCTGAAACCTCAGTTTAATTTCTGCAATATACAGCTGTCTGATTACGCCTCAGTCGCATATGATAAGAACATGGGCGTACAGGAAGGAAAAAATTAGGGGGGCGGAAAAAAATTTGCCCGACTTTTTCGGTTTGTGTCCGCGTTGTCAAAAAAAAATTTCCGGAGAAACTTTCCAAAATTGTTGTCGACGGGGGGAGGAGTGATAACGAAAAATTCCTATTAGATAGCATATTTCCCACAAAATTGACAGAATTTCCCACAAAATTGACAGAATTTGTCCCATTTATTTTTATAATAAGCCAATGTTGCCCGACTGTGAAGCGAATATTGCCCGACTGGCTTTGTTTGCCCAACAAACTGGGGGGTTGCCGCCCCCTCCGCTACCCCGCCCGGTACGCTAATGGATAAGAATGCTTTCAATTTAACTCTATCAATTGAAGTTTTCGCAGGATACTCCGACACTGGACAAACAAGGATGGTCCTTGCTGGACCTTCATTATTCTTTATTCTTTATTTAGCTTTGTCGACTAGGGCAGGGTCACCACAACAGCATATGTCAATTACTGTGGGCCCCTTTTACCTAAAATAAGATGTTGTCTAATCAAGGCTTTAAAATTTCGGGCAGAATAAATGCGTGTTATATCAACTTATATATAAGATGTTATTTGATGTTACTCTGAGTGGTACGTTTAGTGTCTTTAGTGATCTAAGAGGCAACACGAGACCACTTGTCCCAACCGGATACTTTTAATCGACATTGCAACATGGATTAAGCTACAGCCATAACTAGGTCCATGTATAGAGCCGTTTTAATTTATTTCAACCTCAAGCGACAGCAACTAATCTTACTTTGGTCTTTGCACAGTAATAGTCATTATATCAGATAATACAGTTGGATACAGTTGCTTGTTAAATTTTGAGTACTAGATTGAATTACTAAAAATGATGGATTGTACAAGGCCATCTTCACATCAATTCAAGTCATTTTTAATAAAGGATATACTAGGGTTTGCTAATAAAGAAATACCAAAAGGCAAGAATGATAATGGTACTTCACAACTGAAGAAAGAGAGCATCCGAGAATGGGATGTCTTAAAAAAGAGGAAACAGTGTTCTTCAAAGGAAAGTAAGTGATGGAATATCAACCATGTTGCTCAGAGAATTGTATTAAATGTCACAGTGAATGGGTCTTTCAGTTCTTCGATTAATACGCAATTGTCTGATCATAACTTTGCCTTGTTTGCTATCAGTTTGGCTAGTACGTTCTCTACCAAACATCACAGGTTGTTTTCTCCCTATTCAGTTCTCATGCATCACTGAATCAACAATGAAGGGACTGGATTGCCTTTAGTGGACCTCTCGGACGAATAGTTTAGAAGTGATAGAGCTATGCAGTATTCAATATAAATAGAGTTAGTTTAGGTTTGCTTCTGCAGTAACACTAGCGTGACTAGACCAGTAATGGATGGCTCTTACCGCTGAACCTCTAGGGCAGATAGTTTAGAGATTATGGAGGTACCAGTATAAATAAAGATAGCAACACATTATACCAGCATTCTTGCGATGATATGTAAGCATGCGTTTGTGAAGCGGTCTGTTTATTCTTATATTGAATTTCAATAAATCATGACATTTACGATTCTGTCGGATGAAAAACTGTCTGCAGTCTCCTTCCTACTCTACTTAAGGTCGGTACTTCATCGGAAGCAGACAGGAAATACACTCCAAAACTTTCTATATTCTGGATAGCTCTATCGGCAGTCCTAAACTGTTCGTCCTAGATGTCCTGCAGTACAGTGTCAATCCTTACTGTCATTTTCTCCCGTAAGGGACGACACTTACGTACAAGGTAATCTTTTTCATTTCATAGAAACCCAATGTGGAAAAGGAACAACGAATCGGGCTCCTTTCCAAAATAAACAACGGCAGATTTTAGAAAAACATTTTCAGGATTCAAAATACGTCACGCAGAAAGAGCGTAAGAAAATAGCCGACGAAATAAATCTAACCGATCAGCAAGTGAAAATATGGTTTCAGAATCGAAGAACAAGATGGCGCAAGGCTAATGGCAATAAAGGGCTTGCGAAGGAAGGTTCACTTGAAGATTGTAAAGAAAGCGTTCGTGCTGGGCAAATTTTGTCAAATTTTACCGAAAAGTTGTCGATAGATTGTGTCAGTCAGTTACATAAACAGCTTACTGGAAAATAACATGGAAGACATTGGGGGTCTTGGGGCTACCAGGGATTGTTTTAACATATAAAGTAGGGGAAGGGGACACCTATATACTACGGTTCGTTCATTTTCAGATAATAAAGTCCAAAGCCTGTTTTTCACTTCAACCGTATCGTAACGTATCGTAGCATTAGTTCCACTCTAGTGCTCAGAAAAGAAAGAAATCCACTACGCTACACTACGATACGGTTGAAGTAGCAAACTGTCTTTTTTACAACCTGACGTGTTAGTGTTCATCGAATCCAGAATTTGCTTTTTTCAAATGTTCTTCCTCAAAAGTGAAAAAAAAACCCAACAATGAAACATTTGACTGTCATTACACCAAAATTGAATACGAAACAACACTTCTCAAATGATAGATAAGGGACTGGTCATAAAGTAACTGTTAGGGTAGGCCGGAGGGAAAAATACGTTTTCCAAAAAAAACCGGTGGCTCATCCTGAAAACCTAGAAAAAATTTCAAAGCGTAGGTCATTGGAAAAATTTCACGACCCATCCTGCTATACATGAATATGTATGTACAGTATCGCAGTCACCGTTGATCACGGCTCATAAGTTGTGTAGTAGTTATAGTATGTATTGAGTGCAAACAGGTTATATTATGTGTTTCGTGGTCCATCCATTTGCACAAACTAAACAAATTGATGGCCCATCCAAACTGATGAAAATAATTTCATGGCCCATCCTTATTTCCTGCGGTCCATCCTAGCAGTTACTTTATGACCGGTCCCTAAGGAAGTATGATATAATGATTCCTTAAAATTCTCTCATAACGTACATCGCTTTGTGAACGGCGTATGGAAATATGTTCCTCAAGATCCAGGATCGCAATTTTTTTCCAGGTGTGATAAAAACTTATGTTACTAATTGTTACCAATTTGGTCACTTAGCATATTTACAAAATTTTAAAAAGTTAAAGTACATTTACAATGACTCCTTCGATCCTAGTTCAATGTTGCAGACAACTTTCCGAATGCGTTTAAATAATTGGGAACGTAGAAAAAAGCATGCAATTTCTTAAGAAAAAACGCTTTTGGACAGACTTCTCTATTGGGACTCTATTGGAAAAGTTACAATGTGAGATAGGTCTTAATGTACGAACAAACCCGCTCGTGTGTGCTATCATATAAATCCCACCTTTCATTTCAACTTTTTGAAATCAATTCGTACAATGTTATAACCCAGTCTTTTGGGAGACCGCTTATTCCTCCGTCGATGTTGGAAAGAACTCTGGAGGCACCATCGTGTTCGGCACTGCACGCATCTTGTCGTCGGAGACCGTCATTGCCTCGGACTTTCCGAAACTTTGTACGACGATTTTGAAACCATGTCTGTGAAAATGAACAAAAGAAAGCTTTGTATATATTCAAGATTCTGAACTGTCCTCCACGGATATCCAGTAGCAATCATTCCTTTTTGGTGTTACAACAGGAGGACTCCTAAACTAATTTTATCTTACTATCTATACTGGATAGTTCTATCAGTTCTGTGAACTGTTCTGCCAAGAGGCAGAGGTCCAGTATAAAGGGCCATCGTTTGTTGATCAGCTATTTCTACAGAAATAAACAAAATGTGATATTCACTACTAAATCGCAAGATATAACAAGCTCATAGATATCTTATATACACTAGATCACAGTGCATCTATTTATTTTGCAATTCAAAAATTGAAGCCGTGATTGCAGACTCAGGATATTCCCATGAAATGAGAAGATTCGTATATTTTCTATTTCTTAAACAGGGAACTTAAACATTAAGTTAAACCTATTTCAAATACATTTTTAAACTATTCAAATGATGAAAGTTATTGTTGTTTTTTAAGCGTTTATTAGCGAGTGGGAACTACCAACATGGCCGCCATCTATTCAAATGGGGGTAACCGCTGGAATATTCTTGGCTTCAATTTTACTAAAAGAGATGCGCTATCTAGTGTATATAAGATATCTATGACCAAGTTCTATCAAGCCGAATTCCAAACTCGTTTTCTCGCGATCCGGTAAAGACCATCCCTTAATTATTGGTCACGTACTGTTTCTGCACAATGAAATCAGAGAATACCGGAGAAATTCGGTCGTGTTTCGTATAGTCAATAGAGAATAGAGACCTTATGATTTTAGGACGGCAACGCGACGACGACGGCCAAACAAACTCCTTCAAATAAATGGTAGTAAAGATATCCGTCGTATATTATCAATCGTGTGAATTTAATACAGTCTTAGACTAGTTGAAGACATGGCTTTTATGGTTGGGAAGAATTCTGCTGAACCCAGTTTGAATTTTGTTACGGCTTGAAATGCAGCCGTTGTATCAAGACTAACGTGAAAATCTGTGATTTGGCGTTGTAAACAGAGCGAGGACAATTACTAAATTATCCATATATTGTAATTATTCAATTCTTTTCAATGATTTATTTGAAAGATCATTACTTTTCAATGATGAGCGCTAAGCACTTTGATCACTGTGATAAATGTTTGAAGCTTTTTCAACTAATAACCTTACGAATGGCTAAGTTCGACTATAGCGATGCAATGTTTGCTGTAATTTCGACTTTATATTACGTAACACCTCTTGGGTCGCCAAGCTTTCACGTTGCAAAGCCGTTGAGAATACCCTGGAACCACAAATTATTCACAGTTTTTGTCTTGCATGACAAATTTCGTTGTTTCGAAAACGCGTCGTTGAACCGGCCGCATCGTAGATCTTAAACTTAATATTTCTGTTCGTACATGCTACCATTTGATAAATTCAGCGTGATTGAAAATATCATTACACAGTGTTTACCTTAATTTGTCGTTCAGTCAACTTCAGCTCCGAAGCAAGTTTTTTTCTTTTACATGAAGTAATGTATTTTGATTCTTGAAATATTTTCTCTAATATTTCGCGTTGTTCGGCTAAGAATGGCGAGCGACTCTTAAGATTTGAGAAACTCGCTTCATCTTGTTCGGCTGAAGATTCCGTTGTTGAAGAAGAGCTACATTCGTTGTCTTGCTTTGAAGATTCTTGCTCAATGTGTCCTTCTTGTTTTTCTAAAAGAAAGTTGATCAATAAATCATATTAATACAATGAAAATGGTCTTAATGATGCTAGCTAATTATCATTTTATGCGCTTCGTTGTCCGTTTCGGAAACCTCGAATACACTTCAAAGTTTATATAAACAAGAAAAGCCGAAGGCCGCGAAGTGAATATTCGGGTCGATAATTATATTATCAACGTATTCTGGCTCATAGCAGGATATTTTGCGAGCTCAGTTGAAGAATTAGTGCTACAATTGTGTAAAGTCATCTATGAACAGCATTGCAATATTTAAAACTATATTTCGCACGAAACTTATGACAATTACTGCCTGCAAATACTCCCAAAGGCAAAGCCGCATTGTTTCGCTGAAGCGCACATTGTTGCATGTGCTACCAAACGTTTATATAAGAATAAGATTTAACACTGAAAGCATTACAGTAAACTGAGTAAAGTTATCAGGGTCAGTGCTTTGTAAATACGGACACGTTGGCTAGTCGATCTAACGAGAAGAAAATGCACATTTCTCCGTCCTCTTGACATTCAGACAAACCCCGGCAAGACAAGAACTGAGTATATGGCACGAAGACCATAAATGACTGAAAACTCTTTCTTAAATTAGTCTTTATAAACCTCTAGAACCAGGTCGTGTCTTGATTTCTCCTCACATACGTCGCTAGTCAGTGAAAATCAGGCTTGTGTACAGCATTATCACAGTTATTTTATCGTTTACATTGCCCGCTTTTATACTTCAGTGTTCCAACTGAAAAAATATTCTCAATATAAGTATAGATTCATGACGAATATTGAACAATTTTGATGTCTCAACGGCTGTTATGATAGATGAATAACAATGAATATTTCTCCAACGATATTGCTGAATATTCAGTGCATCAATCGCCATTACTCATTATAGCTAGCGGTTATTGCACAGGAAGTTTCCCAGCCGTTTTACAAGAGAAAATTAGAAAAATGTCGGCATTCTTGCTACTAATGAAGGGTCGCTGTATTGGTGATGTAATTACACCAGTTGGGAAGCCAACAGAAGCCAAGAAAATATTCAATTTTATACCTTATACGGTCCCACAAACAAAAGTCCTTTAAAACAAAACAATAAGCTTCCATATTTGGAATACATAAAAAATATGAAAACACTTCGACAAATGGAGCTAGCATACTGACAAGGGGATCTTCATCTTGAAGATAGCAGCCCTCAACTCCTCATTAAAATAGTAACGAACCTTGGCTTTTCTCGAAAAGTCGAAAGGTTTTTAATCTATTTCAGTTATAGTTTAGACACAAACTACGACACTGCTTATTGGTGCTACACTTGACTCTTACGTTTCGGCGAAAGAAAACGAGCCGTACTGACGGAAATATAGTACCTTTTGTGGACAGTTCGATAGTCCTTTCTTGAGTACTGTCCACTTCAAACACACTACTTTCTTCTAAAATTAGGTTCTGCGGTCTATTCGATCGATCGCCCAGTATATCTGAGATGTAAAACGATGTAAACCGTCTCTGTTGGTCTTCATGTTCAACGACATCGTGTCTTATAGCCGTCTGAAGGTCTTCGCACATGTTAATCCAAAATTCCTCGTTCCAATCTAAACTGTGAGGTGCAATGCACAGTTCTGTGGTATTAGAGAGTGTTTAATCAGCGCTTAAATCTCAGCACAGAGAGTGTTTTTGGATACATCATGTTAATAGGATATTGCATTTTTTAAAGAGGGGATTATGAAGCTGGTCACGCATGAAGCACAGGCTGTGTATTCCTATCAAAGCATACTCTACATTGATCGCAAAGAAACTTCAAAAGTGTAAAACAGTCTGGTCCAGATTTTATACAAGATATAAAGCTCTAATACAACTCTGCTGGCGTGTTAAACGAGTCAAAACACTCATTTACTCTCATCACAGTTTGAAGAAGCAGGTCAAAGTTGACGTGAAAGTGTGTGAAAGTCTATACCACATGTACAGTGAATTGGCAAAGATATTTTTTTCCCAGTTTCCCCAAAACGCGTTTATCAGTGACAGATAAAAAAAAATACAACTGTATATACTACATACACCAACAATACTGGCGCGCATATAGCAAATACAGTTACAAGACAATATTTTGTCACTCCGAAAACGGAGGATATTTTTGAAAATGTTTATTCTGCGTTTCTACTAAATCTTAGTGATCATCAGTCAATCGTCAGTACGTGCAAATTGGAGTTGTTTTCCTGTTGTTGTTTACTGTTTGCCAATTTCCGATGCGGTTTCCAAAACCAATCATTTGAATTCTTTTCATTTTTCTTTCTAAATAATTAACACTAAAACGCCTTTCCTTCCAAAAATATTTTAGTACTGGCAAATATAAATGATTGACTTAATTCTTCTTTTGTGGAAGTGAAAAAGAAACTTGTTCAGCAGAAGAAATGGAACATTAATTGGAATGAAACCCAATTTCTTTATACTTTCAAAACTTCTCCTATTCCGATTTGATAATAATTTCGTCCTAACATTCGTCCCAAAATAAATCAAGGCATTTTAAAGAATTTAAAAAGGAGTTTTTTGCATGAATGGAGTGAAATACAGCACTTTCATTGCAATACTAACTTCTAAACGTACGTAAAATATTATGCCGCATATTTCTGTGCCCAGGAAACATGCATATTTACAATTAAAACGTTTGTCGTATTCGCAGAATTTGTTTTAAGAGTATCTGTGCTAACATCATTTGGAAAATTGTGCACTGTTGTAATTATCCCAAAATGGGATGGCGCGCAAATTCTTCAATTTTGTTAATCATATAATGACTTCATATTTATTGTGAGAGTTTTTCCACATCGTTTCAAAATGTCACAACGTTGTATCGATTGAAACCACATGAGAATAGCGAATGGATGTTAATAGTAGCCCATTTCCTGTTAGGATAAGAAATATGCGTCATTGCAAATGGTTCCATTATTATTTTAATGATAATTTCCGCTGCTCTTCAAATACCGGTACATCGACATGAGTGTAAAGTCGCTCAAATTTCAAGGAAATCTCGTAGATAGAAACTTCTGGTGTGCTACCAGTGTGGTTCTACCAAACACTCAAGGTGTGTTCCAGTTTCTTCTTTTCCCAGTTATACACCGGAAGAAAAACACTGGAACCCCCAAATCTTCTTTAAACAGGAAGGGATATCCAGTATATAAGTTAGTTTAGGTTTCCTCCTGTAGTAGTAACACTGGATCAAGTAAGAGATGATCCTTACCTGACTTCTAGGAAGAACAGTTTAGAATTGATAGAACTATCCAGTATTAATAAAGTTAGTTTAGTTTAGGTTTCCTCTTGTAGTAACACTGGATCAATAAGAGATGACTCTTACGGAACCTCTAGGAAGAACATTTTAGAACTGATAGAGCTATCCACTTAGCTTAGTTTAGGTTTCCTCATGCTGTAACACTGGATCAATAAGAGATATGACTCTCACGGGACCTCTAGGAAGAACAGTGTAGAACTGATAGAGCTAGCTATCCAATAATCAATATAAATAAAGTTAGTTTAGATTAATTTAAATTTCTTTCTGTATCGCATGGCCTAAAACTCTAGGAATACTTACAGTTTAGAAGTGATGGAGCCATCAAATGTGAGTCAGTTTAATTTAGATTCCCTCATGAAGTAACACGGAACCAATATGAGACGTCCCTTATAGGAATAAGTTATAAGACGAAGCTTTATCCTCGAGTTAAATAGTTTAGGTATTCAGCATGACCATTACTAACTTTTACACGATGTTTGGGATAAATGTGCCTCTCTTGAGAGGCGATGTGTTTTTTGATCTCTTAGTTTAGTTAGATACTTCCGAAACAAACTACAGCAACTTTTTTCTAGAATGTTTTTGTTCTATATTAATACATTTAGCTTTCGTGACAAAGGAACAAAAAGATTACAATTTTCTACGGATTAAACGAATCAGACACCGATGTAAATTTCACAACTACTTGGAAAACATGTCAACACACACAACGTCAAAGCGTCTCGCAAAGATTGCTATAAACACATCTTACAATCTTAATCCGTATATTCACTTCACACTCATTCCTTCGGTATCTTTATTCTTATATAATATGCCCGTTCAAGTATACAGTATATATTTTACACGTGTCGCTAAAAAACGCATGAAAGCGCTTCGAAAATTAACATGTTTTTAGACAATGAAGGTTATACGTTTATTTTGTAGCAAACAGAATGTTTAAAATGTTTGAAACTAGAAGCTTTTTCCTTTTAGGCAAAGTTATCGCGCACAGTTTTCTGGAATTTCGTTATCTTGTCAATTTTATTAGTTTTAACACCATGCATTGTTTGTTTACGTTGTTATGTAGAATTTGGCAAATACGCTGTAAAAAGACGACACCGCGGACAAGGACTGGCAAAACACAATGGCAGTGCAAAAATAATTTAATAACAGTTCCATACGATTTATGCAAAACAGAAATGGATGAATACTTTTATATGCATATTTTAAATATTTCTGTCTCAGCTATTATTCAACTGCAATTTTTCCCGACCGCATCTGAACGAGCAGGCGACCACCTATGTATGCCAATATGGTCATTTATTCAAGTTAAAATTATCGATAAAATTATTCCTTCTCTCCTTAGACAACATAATCTAAAGCTTTCATCATAACATCATGATCCAAAAAAAGTTAATACCACACTCTTTGGGATGCAAATATTTCTCTATCTTAATCCGGTGTGTCAAAGCTTTCGTATCACCATGAAGGCATCGATGATGGTTTTTTCCCAGTGAATATAACAGTAAACTCGAGCGATCCAGCATAACAAATGCATAATTGAAGCACCTTTGAACTAGAATGTTAGACCACTGCAATTTGTCGACTATTTTTAATATTGAGTATTTTACTAATATTGAGTATTCTATCAATAATTATTATTAAAATTCTGTATATACATGTTCACTTGCATTTTATACAACCATATAATTCGATGGAGCAGTTATAAGCACGTTTTCAAAAACGAAAAACCGACAATAATATATTTTCTTGATACATTTGTATTGAAAACGTTATTCATAGAACCTATACTCGGGGAATTTTGCAGAAAAGAGAATACAAAGTTTAACCTTAAAAGCTCGCTCAAATAAACCACGTAGTCCAGTATTCCAAAACGATTTTATGCAAAATACTACGAATATATGACACGGCTTCGTTTTCTTAGTCAAAATTTTGACTTCGTATGCAGTGTTTTCATACTATAGTCTTGCCTAAATCGATTTCAGTGAGGGTCTAGTAGAAACAGACTGGCCCTATTTCTAATCCAAATTGCTCTTGTGCTAATCCTCGATAAAAGAAACTGAAGTCAACAATAGGCAATGATTCTAAGTTTGTCGTTTCTAGTAGAAAATCTGTTTTTCGCCATTTGTGGCCGTCGACCTAGAAAAATAAATATCGAAATAGAAATTTGAGAAATTAAAAACTTACTTTTTTGGTGAAAAACTTAAAAAGTATACGCTTAATTAGCAATTTAATGAGTTTAAATTTATATTTTTTGATAAATCAATAACCAATATTAATAGGCAATTTTAGATTTTTAGGTAAATGGACAATTAGCTATTTGGTTAATTAAACCTTTAGACAGTCAATTAGTGACTTCCACAAAAAGGTGAGTACTATTTAGTTAGTTAATCAGTTAATTAGTCAATTAATCAGTTAATTAGTCAATCATTAATTAGTTAATCAGTTAGTTAAGTAGTTAGTTAGTTAGTAGTAAATAGTTGGACATTTAGTTCGTTAATCAGATGGTTCGTTAATCAATTAGTTTGTTAAACAGTTAGTTAATTAATCAGTTAATTTTAATTAGTTAATCAGTAACCTAAGTAGTCAGTTAAGTAGTAATAAATAGTTGGTCAATTAGTTCGTTAATCAGTTAATTACTCAGTTAGGTAGTTCGTTAATCAGTTAGTTAATTAATCAGTTAATTAGTTGGTCAGTTGCCTAAGTAGTCAGTTAATCAGTTATAATTAGCTTATTAGTCAACCAGTTAATAAGTCACTTTTTTAAATACTGTAGCTATTATTTTAATTACTTCAATAGTTAGTTATTTAGTTGGCTGGTTAATTACAGCTAATTAGCTAATTATTAGTTAGTTTATTAAGCCATTGTCTAATCGCTCTTGCGAGCATAACCAGTCCGATCATTTATAATTTTCATGCTTAAAAACCATACATAAACCATGCATACTATAATAAAACAAATTTCACTCTGAATTTCACTCGAATGATCAGGGCTATTCTCAAGAAAGAAATGTGATCCCATTGAAATTATCACATTAATTCGAAATTGAATATATTCATTTTGTGAATTGTTATATTCATTTCAAATTGTTATATTGATTTCCTTAATAACTTATTTTAATTTCATCTCCTCAACTTACATTAATTAACTTTTAATTGTAACACTAATTAATGTATAGTATTACTTTTAGCAACGGCCCCTTGAAATTCAGTTGTAGTTCATTGAAGGGCTCACAGTGGCAAAATAAGATTAAAAAGAATAACAACACCAATAAGATATGCATAAAGAGTAAAACCTCTTACCTTGCAGCCGTCACTCAATACTCGAGGTCTTAACTTTCCCTTATGTTTAAACTTCCTGCCGTTCCAACCGTAAAACCTGACACCAAATTTGTAACTCTTTTCGCGTTTATTATACCAGGCGGTGGAGCTCTTACAGTTGTACGATACGCGCTGACTGGCGTCCGTGCTCAGCAAGCGAAGGAAGTTGAACTGGACTCTCGAGATTGGATACCGGAACGTGAAGTTCGAGGCAACGTTTGAAAATGGAATCCGGACTTTGGGCTTACCACGCGACCAGCTTCGCTTTGGAATCTAAGTTTGAAATGGGGGATAATGATGAATTAAGTACTAATAAGTGTTACTGGATGGCAGGTGGTGCCCAGAAGGTTACCACTCATAGGATCAGGCAAATTAAGCTTAGCCCGATGGGTAGCCGGTTCTTCTAGGGAACGATCACACTATAGATGGGTTGAGATAGTATGAGTTCGCATATTATCAGTTGGAGCCAGGTCTCTAGTTAACACACTCAGAGTAACATCACAAACATCATATTCACCTGACTACATAACACCAACACACACAAATATCATATCTTAGAATACACTGATATCGAAGGAACTAGACTCAGTTCCGAAATATCATCAACTCGAACCGACTTGACCGCGTAGCTCAGTCGGCAGAGCATTGGACTAGTATCCCAAAGGTCGCGGGTTCGATTCCCACCCTGGCCAAGCAATTAACTTTTCAGCTTGCCCGGTGTGGATGCACACTCAGAGTAACATCACAAACATCATATTCACCTGAGTACATCACAAATATGACCCTACAGTCTAGAATACAAAAGCTTGAGAACTACTCAATGTATATTTTATATCTCTCAAGCTTTTATTTCCTCCATTGAACCTATGACAGGACTACGTTTTGAAAAAAATAACATTATACACGAGTGCCAGTTGACACTTAGTGAACCATAATGAGATCCATCTTTAATACAAGAACAAAATACAATTCGAAATGAAAAAGAATCGAAATTACGAACTAACCCGTTCAGGTGAAGGTGCGACACAAGATTTTCCTCCTGCAGTAAAATCACAAAACACTCGAACAGCGTCAACAGGACAGCCAAGATTTGGATCAATCCAATAATAACCTAAATAATAGGAATAGAAACTAACTTTATCTATACTGGATAGCTCCATCAGTTCTAAACTGTTCTCCCTAGCGGTGCAGTAAGGATCATCTCTTATTGATCCAGTGTTACTGCAGGAGGAAACCTAAACTAAACTAACTTTATTTATACTGGATAGCTCCATCAGTTCTAAACTGTTCTCCCTAGCGGTGCAGTAAGGATCATCTCTTATTGATCCAGTGTTACTGCAGGAAGAAATCTAAACTAAACTAACTTTATTTATACTGGATAGCTCTATCAGTTCTAAACTATTCTTCCTAGAGGTCCAATAAAGATCATCTCTTACTGATCTAGGGAGGAAACTAAACTAACATAACTAAACTAAACTAAGCACGTATAACATTACAAAGGCACATTTTTCCAAACGAGAAAATCATACCGTTCTTGAGTTGTGGATGACAAGCATGCAAATCTCGGCATGTTCGTCCGGGATTCTCTTTACTACCAAGAGGATTTTTAATATTTGATGTTTGACCAGCTAAATCGATGATTTGTTGTTGAATAGGAACACCCTAAACGACAAAGATAATAAGTAAAAGGTATATTGCACAAAACATCACAGTAGAAGCATTATAGCGATTACCTCTTTCTCTGGATCTCCGAAGACTGATTGGTAATAGTGGTAAATTCGGGCTTTTATCTGTGCTTGCTGGGTAGCTGGCTAAAATTGAAGAAAGTAGGAATTACATCATCATTGCCTTACGTGTATTGCGTATACAGCTGATTCAATTAAGGTTAAACCTTGAATCTTAAACTCTGAGCGCGCAAGGGATGATGGGTTTTCACCTACTATAGGCCTTTAAACTTGCCTTTGCAGCAAGTATGTTTTCTATGGTGAGTCTTCTATATGTCTTAGGTATTCTTGCAAAGACAAATTTCAAAGTTTGTGAGTCTAAATAAGCAATAACCCATCATCCCTTGCGCGCTCAGAGTTTAAGGTTTACGTTTTTGTATAGAAAAGATTATATGGATAAGAAAATCTAAATTTTTGACCCTAGTAGTTTTTTGACCCTAATAATTTTTCATCTTCATCATCGTTTAGAATATACCTCAAGAACAAGTGTAATGATACTCTGGATCCTGAAATGACTTGTACCTACTCCCTTAACCATGATTGTGTTTGTCACAAGCAATAAATTAATATAAGTAAATAAATTAATCTGTATGATTAACTTTTAATAAATATTATATAGAACTATGTTCTACAAGAGGAGAGGCAACTTGCA